AAAAAAAAAAAAAAAAAAAGTCACAACATTACTACTTCTAACAGTATTTACTGTTAAGTTCCATTCTCTTTATGTATTACCTTCACATATTACCTCATTGCATCATAAAAATCTTATGAGGCAGACCTTGTTCTTCTCCATTCATACAAAAGGAAATGAGGATTAGAAAGGCTAGGAAACTTGCCCAAGTCACACATTTACTGGGAAAATTCCCATACGCAGTACAAACACCCCTATTCCAAACAGTCTTCAAAGAACGGACGTTTAAGTGACAAGAGCTAGGTCTCACGTATGGGAGGGAGATGCACACACTTGCAGGTGGTGACACGGAACAGCAGGGCACTGGGTGGGAAGCAGGAGCCTGGGAGGGGCAGCACACACAGCAGCGGCGGAAGAGGAGGAGGTGCTTTGTTTGGTGCCCTCCTACACTCTGAATTCTGCACAGCACATGTCATCTTCATTTCTACGTAACAACTAGTACTGACCAGGGTATGGGCAAACAAACTGGTCAGGAGTATCTGTAACAGTGAATACGGAAGCAATCTCAACAGCCACGGAGAAAGAAATGACTTTGAGGTTACTAAGGTACAAGCACACAACTGGAAGTTACACTGCCACTAAAAAGTATGCAGCTCTGTTTTAACCTGGAAAGACATGAAGTAAATGAGGAAAAGAAAGTTAAGCAGCAAATATTATTTTTAAAATTATCTAGATATAATAATTTATATTTAGGATACATGAATTTAATTGTATTTATTGAGAACATATGTGAATATTAAGGTTTATGATATATTCTTAAGTAAAATGATACTATCAAGAAAAGAAGCAGATATTAATTTAGAATCTCATGAAGAAAACTGCGTTCCGTGCACAGGACATCTTATACAGGAAACAATGACACATAAATTATACCCTGGGGAGATTTTTTCTTTCCTCTTACAAAACACTCACATATGAACTTACCTCTTGCCTGGATAGAGTCATGGGTAATTTTTCCTCTGCCAGTTCAAGTTCTAATACTGGATTCGATGAAGTTAATGGTTTCTGGTCCTCCTCTTTTGGCTGTATCTATATAATAGCCGAAATAAATAAAATTCAACATATAAAATATAGTTAATATTTGTCCTGCTATCATCTTAGTCATTCGTGGAAATTAAACATGTTTAAACATGGAAGTCTTCCTGAACACTCCCACAGAAGATGCTCCTAATAATGTGCATGCTCTTCCAGTGGGTCAAACGTCACTTCAGGAGCATCACAAGGAGAGGGCATGCACACGGGAGACAGAGCTCTTGCCGTGAAGAGTGACGTCACAGACTGCATGGTTTCCAAAATCCAAACTCAAAAGCACTGAAATCTCACTCCCTTTCTCCCAGATTCTGAAGCTGTGCAGTCTTTTCTTTAAAACAACCAGCTTCTCCTCTGGGAAATCATCTGACTGGACTGACTGCTGCTTGGCTTTAAAATGAAAACTAGAGAAAAGAATTGCTTTCCAATAAAAATCTGTAAAGCTTTAAGCTCTAGTTGTTCCCTGCTTTTCTTTCTGAAAAACGGTGGGTAAGGCACCAAGGGGCCAGCAGAAAAACTCCCAATGCTGTGCAGTCCTACAAATCCGCTCTGCGCCCAGGGAAAGAGCAGGTAGTCTCGCCCACATGAACCTGCGGGGGAGAAATCGCTTCTCTATTTTCTCAAATCTACAAACCTGCATGTGGTCCGTGAGAGGACACGGACTGGTTCCCCGGCCATGGCAGACCCGGAATGCGGCAAGTGGCTAACGAGGTCAACAATAAAAAAGCTCACATCCGGTACTATAGGATAAAGGAACTATAGAGCAAAAATTACATGACTCGCGATTCTGTACTTTACATTTAAAGGTCGTATTTACCATATCCAACTGACACCGAGGAGAAATTAAGGGAAAACTTTCGTATTTTTCAAAGTCAGGTCAGCACCAAGCCTTAAAAGCACCAACTAGTACCAGTGAAGGAACGAATGAAAGCAGTGCACAGGACATTGTCACTTCCAAGAAGGAGCATTAAAACACTTAAAGAAACACCTGCGCTGTCTAAGCACACTCACACGCGCGCGTGCGCGCACACACACACACACACACACACACACAGGCTGTTTCCCCAGACCGTCAGGAAGAAAAGCGGTTTTAATTACATAACCATAGTTAACAGCTCTGGGGAAAAGATCTAAGAGACTGTTGGCAGGACTCAAAGCTCCAAGCTGGGTTGTCAGTCATTAATCTGCTCCAATGCCCCACCTTCTTATCAGCAAAAAGGCCCACATCACCAAACAGAGGCATGGCAAAAACTGCTCCTGGGCTACACTTTCCTGCCTTTTCAAGGAGCTGAAAAGGTTCAAATTTAGAGAACCGAGAATACAAGTCAAGAGACTAACATATGGTACTGATTCTTACTCTAGGTCAACAAGACAACATTAGGAGAACAAAAAATAAGAATTCTAGTAAGGAACAATGGCACATACCTATGTACTCAGCTAGTCAGGAGGTTGAGGCAGCAGGGTCATAAGTTTAAGGTCTGCTATACAACTTAGCAAGATTATGTTTCAACACAAAATAAAAAGGACAGGACAGCACTCCCTGGGTTCAAACCTCAGTGTCTCTGTCACACACACACACACACACACACACACACACACACACACAGAATTACTCCTACCACCATGCAAACTAAGAAAAACAATATGAAGAACTAAACTGGGAAATAAAACAGAGAAGAAAGGGAATTGGGAAAAAAATAAGAAGTCTAAGTATCTACTCAATGGTTATTTACATAAACTTATTTCAATATCCTGACCTAGAAGCCAATAAAATCAATACCTTTATGGAAAAATATCAAAGTAAAAACACAAACTTTCGTATTTAAAAACCCTACCAGAAATATAACGACATTTTTCTTTCATCCCTGCCTTCCCCGATGCTACAAAGCAAAGCCAAACACATGTGTGCTCCACTTGCATTCCTCATGCTTCCTCAGAATCGCTGTCACACAGATTAATTTCCACAATTCCCCGTTACATGCACAAGAGTATTATTTTATATATTGACCTTTCACAAGCAAATTGTGGATTTCAAATTTGAGTTAGCAAAACTACTTCAAAAGAACCTCTCCACTGTGAGTTAAAATGATTCAACTTGTCTTCTTTCAACTTAAACATAACTTCTCCACCTCGTAACTTTAACCCCTCCCAATAAAAGCCCAGGACATCATCAAGCATGTAATCGCAAAGATAATTTCAGTTACGCTTCTAAAATACACGAGCAGAGCTTTCAGATGTCTCATTTGTTTCTACACAATATTGCACAATTACATTTTGTATCTGGAAAGTGGCACCTTTTTACACGTGGGCTGTGTGCAGGAGAACTGCTTTGTTAGGGCCCAGAAGGAATTATTAACAATGCAAACATAAAATCCTGGCTTTAAATATTTGGGGGAAAAGCAGGGGAAGAATGACCACTGCTGGATGTTTGTACTCTTTGAAAACAGACTGTTTTATTGGGAGAGGTGGGGCCAGGAGTGGTGGAGGAGAGTAAAGAAGACAGTATCAGATCCAGGTCTTACATTAAAAAAAAAAAAAAAAAAAAATTCAAGCTTTCATCTCAAGCCACTTCATGCTGTCCACAAAAGCCAAACCATTCCAAGCCAAAAGTCATGCATGTATTTTCCTGAATTCAAAAATTATTTTTTTAAAAAAACAAAAACAAAAACTCATACCTCTCCAGATGGCTTCTCACTTATAGGCTAATACATAACATTGATAAATTGAACAGAGATCAATGATTTTGTCATTTACAACAGCTGTATAAATTTAAACTCAGAAATATACAAATCCACATAAAAGCAGAAATTCATACCTTATAGCCACATCTTTCAAAATATGCTTCCTCTTCTTTTTTTGCAAGTTCACTACGTTTGAAATATTTTTTATTTTCCTATTAAAGAAAAAATAAGTTAATAATATATCCTTGAGAAAATTTTCACATGCCATAGTAATCAAGCACTTTTAGAAACACTTAAGTTTTTCAAGAACTCAACATTTCTTGGTTCCAAAAACCTGCAGAGAGTTGGTGTAAGGGCCACCCCCTTCCAGAGAGCCGGTCTGGGGCTGAGAGGAAGCCAGGAGCGACCCCAAATCTACCGGCCTGTCCTGGACCTGCCCAGGCCTCCAACTCCCACCTCTTGGGTATAGCAGCCGCCTGGGGCCTTTTCTCTTCTCTAGAAGTAGGGCCCTGGGGCCCTCCCCTCCAGGGGAGAGGCACTGTGACCAGGGCAGAGTCAGGGTGGGGAGAGGACAGAATTCCACCTGAGTGAGAACCACAGTGAGCACAGCAGAGCACCAGACCTGAGCTGGGCTCCAACCCGCTGCAGGCAGAGGCACAACGTACTTTTCTTGAACCATCACTTGAGTAGCTGTGAGGAGAAACCAACACAGCATTTTTCAAATGCTCACTTTTTTAAAAATTTCCTAATGTTCAAGTTCAAAGACAATTTCTACAAATGGATTCATTATGAACCACATAAACTGCAATGCTTTAATTATTCTCTTAATGTAAAGCAAACCAATTATAGCATATGTAGCCAACCTCTGATGTCATTAACCGAAGAGTCCAAGAGGAGGTCTGAATTCTTTATCACTTGAAATCTTAGTATAAATAATTCAGATGTGAAATGGCACACGAGCGGTAAATTGGTCCCGGACACAGCCTCCCTGGGAGGTGTGCAGCCTGCAGCTCTGCCCCTGCCACACTTCTCTGGAGAACTCTGCCCCACTGTGCAACCAGGGCACAGTCCCGCAACAGCTGCACACGCGTACGTGCACAGTATGGAAAGTGCCGCCCAGCCCACAGAGCATTTACCCGGCCAAGATCGCCAACGGCTGCTGGCACAATTACGGGAAGGCCTGATGCTGCGAGCGGGACGCTCAGACTGCCCAAGGCCGACACCAGGGAAGGTGAACAGAAACAGTGTCTATCCCACGCCGCAGGGAGTACTCTTCGCACGCGACCCTTCCAGAGCTCTCAACGAGAGGAACACTGCTGGTACACAGGCCCTGGGTCCAGTAAGAACGGCAACACCCGGAAGTGGCTAAACCCAAACAAGACCTTGTGCAAAACTAGTTCCCACTTTCCCCAGCAAGGAAACTATGCAGAAAGAGGAGACGGCATGAAAATGTTCTCCATTAATAAGAAACCAAGTCATGACAAACAAATGAAATCAGTCAATTCTGTTGGGATTTCATCTGAACAAAACAAGTGTAAAAACATATATGTGCACATATTTTAATTCGAGGATACAGGAACATAAACTTGGTGAGATTATCAAACTAATTTTAGTTTTGTTGGGTGTATGCATAGTTTAGTAATATAATAGCACGTCCTTATTTTAGGATTACATGTTAGGGGCAGGGTACACGGGTTTACTACACATTTCTAGTTCTGTGTATGTTCAAGACTTTCAGAAAAAGAGAATAAGAGGGCCGGGGATTTAGCTCAGTGGTTCCACTGCCTGCCTTGCAAGCACAAGGACCAGAGTTTGATCCCTGGTACCAAAAAAAAGAAACAAAAAGAGAGTAAGAGATGGGAAGGAGAAAAAGAAAAATAGTAAAAAGTAGTAGTGGTGGCCGTATTGCTCTTTTTTTTGGTACTGTTTTCAGTATCTGACTTTAAACTATGACCCACACCCCATATCACTAAAAAATTGACCCAAGATTTTAAATTCCCAATTTTTTATAAAACATAGATTTTCAGAACATAAAAGAGTATCTGTAATTTCCTCAAGTATTTAGAAGCAGAGCGGCCAATCATATGGTAGGTTTTAGCTTACCTGTTAAGAAGCTATCAAACTGCTTTCAACTGATTATACTCTGTATTTGATATTCCCAGACAGGACACAGAAAATGATAACCATAAAAAACTGACAAAGGGAGCTCAGTCAAAATTAATGCTTCTGCTCTTCAAAAGACACTATCTAAGCTGGGCGTGGTGGGGCGCACACCTGTAATCCCAGCACTTGGGAGGCTGAGGCAGGAGGACTGCTGTGAGTTCAAGACCAGCCTGGGCTACATAGTTCCAGATCAGTCTCAACTACGCAGTGAAACCCTGTCTCAACCTCCCCCCAAAAAAGACACTATCAAGAAAATGAACAGATGGACCCATCTGGAAGATCATAGCCACAAAACACTTATCTGACAAAGGACCGGTACACAGGATAAACAAAGATTTCCTTAATTTATTAAGCAAGAAACAGCCAATACCAACGGACCACAAAGATGTACAAAGACCACGAAGCACAAGAAATGGCTTGACGTCATTAATTATCAGCAAGATGCAAATCCAACCACAGTGAGATGCCTGCTCCCAAAGACGGGGGAGGCCACAGTCCCTGGTTGGACGCAGAGCAAGTGGCTCTGGCGTGTGGCAGGGTACAGCCGCTTCAGAAAACAGGGCAGGGCCTTCAGGGCGCTCCATATGGCATGCGGGGACCAGAAATCCCAGAGGAAAATGGAAGCGACAGACTGTTCCCAAAGGTTCCCAGAACTTCACTAGTTAACAGCCAAACCCTAGAAAAAGCCAAGGTGCTCATCACAAGGAGACAAACTGGGTCCGTTCAGGTAACAAAGGACGAACAACCATAAAAGGATAAACACCTGGTACATACAGCAAAATGGATAAAACTCAAAATATTCGGATCAAACAAAGCTCCAAAAACGCTGCATGGTATAATCCTATTTATATGAAGTTCTAGAGCAGGTAAAATTGAGAATGAACAAAGTAAAAAAACTAGTGGCCACTTCTGGGGTGGGGGGGAGTGACAGGAACAGGAAATGACTGAACAGTACAGTGAGGATCCGGTATTCTAACTTATTTTTTGGTGGTGGTACTGGGGATTATACCCAGGGCCTCATGCTGAGCTACATCCCCAACATTTTTTTGTTTGGAACAGGATCTCACTATATAGCCAGGCCAGCCTTGAACTTTCAACAATCCTCCTGCCTCAGCCTCTTGAGTAGCTGGGGTTACAAATGTAGATGCTTACCCCGCATACCATCATACTTGATGTACGCGGAGCTACACAGCTGTATACATTTGTCTAAACTCACCGAACAGCAAACTCAAGGTGTGTGTCACACGTGAACCTCTGCGTACATTGAGCTCCAAGGAATGATACACACAGCAAGTCAGCGAATGGCAGTCACTGCCCACCTGCAGCTGGAAACACTTGTGTGATTTACCGTTTGAGAAGAGCAGCTTCATCTTCAACCACTTCAAATGCTGCACCAGCTGCTACTGTTCTGTGGCAGCTGAAGCCCTGCAGTCCATACTTAGCTGGTGCTCACCTCCCTGTGAGAACGCAGGAGACGAGTGAAATACCCTCTAGCACCCGTCCTTGTGTTCTGCCTGGTGACCACCCTGCGGTAAAAGCAGCTTCTGCACTGTGGACAGGCTGACAATTGGCCAGGATAAGGGACAGGTGGTGAGTTAGGTGATCAATACAGTAATCATCAATTATAGACTTGACTGCAATCCAGGTGTTAGGCATGAATGTGCACTGTATAATTCTTTTAAGCACTCTGCACGTTTGACAGTTTTCATAGTAAGATGTTAAGGAAAAAACTATTTTGCAGAAGATGTCAAAATATGGTATAAAACACAGCAAAAAAACTCCCTGCAACTGTTTTTATTTTCCATTACAGTAAAAAATCTTTTAAAGGGTTCTCACTGACTACAACCGAGAAACAGGAAATGGAATTATGTACAGGATACTGTTCCAAGGGGTGAACACGTGAAGAAGGGCAAGGTCAAAGAACCAAAAAGATAAAAAAGGTTCTCTAGGGCTGGAACACAGAGAATAATGGTGCAGAACTTGGGGACCACCAGAAGGGACATGATTACTTCCAGCCCTCTGAGTCTAAAGTCCCTCCAACAGCATCATGAACAGGGAAGAGGGGAGTCAACAGACACGCTAAATCTCCTATAAAGCTTCAAGGAGCTGACAGACAGTTGGACATCTACCCAAAGGCTCTGTTTAAGCACCCAACAAAAGTGTAACTGATTATCATAAACACATACGACTTGTAGACAGAGAAAAGAGGAAGAGTGAACAGAAGAGGACAAGTCAGCAGCATCAGGTGAGTCAGACATGGAGGCCATAAGGGTCCCTGATTAGAGCAGATTCAGCGGAATAATGGAGCCAGGAGCCAGACTGCAGCAGGCTAAGGAACCAGTGAGTGGGAACCAGAACTCACTCTAGAAGCTGGCTGCAAAGAAAGGGGACAGGATACGTGCACACCTGTCCTTTTTAAAGGTGGGAGAGGTAGCTGTATGCTTCCATGCTGATGGGGCTAAGCCAGGAGAGACTGAAGATACAAGGAGAAAAGAGAAAACTGATTATCAAGGTTCCTGGTGATGCCAAAAGGACATACTAGGATCCAAAGTGTAAATGTAAGGTTTCATCCAAGATATAATTATCTCATCCATTTTAACAGGGGAAGATCTAAGGAATTCCATGCCTGTTGGATTCTATTTTCTCTGTAACACTGAATGCTTGTTCCTTAAGGATCCAATTTTTCTTTTTAATGTTCTGTGGCACAGTGTATCACCTCGCACAGAAAACACACTCAATAAACTGGATGGAGGAGTCAAAATTCTCCACAAAACTCATCCTTGTATCTACAACTAGTAAAACTGCTAGGGTACTTCCTCCCCACTGGGTTCCCAGAACAGCCAGGGTTTCCACCCAAGGGAGGGCTGGCTTTAAAGAAAGACTCACCAATACAGGGCTCCAAAGCACTGGCATTTTAGAAACACAGACTCTACGCCTTACTTCAGAGTAGTTATACCAGGCAGGGTATTTGGGGAGAGATGATAAGAAAATATTTTAGAAATCTCTTCACAGTTTGACGGAGAGGTATTCACGAGCTAAATATGATTTCAATTATCATAGATAAGCAATAAAAATCTGGGACACCACTTGAGATGCCCAAAGATAAGGTGGCTCTTCCAAGACAGCAATTAATACACAGACAACTCTTTTCCAGCTACACGATGGGGTAGTGAAAACTACTTATTGATTCCTAACCAACATTTTTTAAAAAATAAAAGATGAACTCATGTAATAAATAAATAAATCAGTAGAAAGAATTATTTCATTAAAATATTTTTTACATGTCAGATCAAGACATAAAAATGTTTCTTACTATGGATGGGGCAGTGAAAAAAATCTGAAAGTTACTGATGTAGAAAGATAAAAGCTAGAATGTCACTGATCATGTATAAGATTATACAACTGCAGGGTGGCCCGTTCGCAACACCGGGCAATGACAGGACTGGCACCACACCTGAAATAATGTCTGGATGTCTAGAAGGCAGGAGATGCCCCGGGGACACTACCTGGGGGGAA